GAATTCATAGTTTACCTTTCGTATGAACTTCTTTATTTCTACTGAGTCAGTTGCTTGACTTCTATTTCATCTAATTTCAGAATAGTGAGCTTGATTGTTGTAATTCAGGAAGTTTAGGTAGATGTTCCACCAGGTCCTGCATTTCATAAAGATACTGTTCATTTGTTTCATCTTTCGCACTACAGTCTAAATTCTTGAGAATTCCTCGCTTATCTTCTGGATTTCTGTTTCGAAAGTTATGAAGAAGGAATGAAGCTTTTCATCTCTACTACATAAGTTGGGTTCATGACTAACGAGTTTTGGTGCTGTTGTTGCTAACATGTTCTTACAATAAAAATAAAAATATTTTTTTTAAAAAAAACTAACTTTTTTTTATTCGGGAAAAATTCATGAGTTTTGGTTAAAAAATACGGTGGAGCCAAAAGTGGCTCGACCTCAAAAACAAGCATTTTGTGAGAAATATTACCAACCGCCAGAATTTCGACGGTTGCTTTTTATACAAAATTCAACGGGTGAAAGAATACGAAGATGAAGTCCTGACAAAACATGTACATGAAGTCGACAAAACATATACGATGAAGCTTGACAAAACATGTACGATGAATCATGACAAAAACATTTACGAAGAAGTCTTGACAAAAATATACGAAGAAGTCATGACAAACATTTACGAGATGAAGTCTTGACAAAACAAGCATTTTGTGAAGAATATACCAACCGCCGGAAAACAGCGGGTTGCTTTTATACAAAATTCAACGGTGACAAACATAATACGAAGAAGTCATGACAAAACATGTACGAAGAAGTCTTGACAAAACATGTACGATGAAGAAGTCTTGACATTTTCCTGGACTGTTGTCAAAATGTCATTTGTCACACTTTTTCAGAGAAGTTAAAATGACCGAGGCCGAGGACCGAGGACCTGGTTCCACCTAAAAACCATCTACCCTAAAATATATTTTTGCCGAATTCAATAAAATAAATGGTTCATTTACTCACAATATTTTTGTACAAAACGACCCCAAACTTTTAACTTCTTTTCTGCAGCTTCAAATGCTATCTTAGCGAGTTCATATTCTCTAAATTCTCTCTTTAAATCTTCTTGTTCCCATTGGTCTAGTTCGTATGGAGAATCTTTATAACCATAACACATCTCATGTTCATGTTCTATTTGTTTTCATGCATTTTTCTAACTTTGTCGAACAAGGTTAGCATTCTCTACTGTATCTTCGAGTTCTTCTTCATCTAATTTCTCATGAACTTCTTTCGTCTATGGAGTCCATAATTTTTTCCAACTGCTATACAATATTTGGAAAGCCACATTGCTATATAGTTTACAAGTCTTGGTTACATACGTTCCTCTAACCTGTTTGATTTCATCAGAATTCCTGCATGAATTTGTATAAAAAGCAACCCGCGAATTCCGCGTATATTCTTCACAAAATGCCTTAAAATACTCTTCCCAGGACTTATTTTCCAACAACCTTCTAAAGTCTTTCCTAAACTGCTGACACATTTGTTGCATTTATATAACCATCCTTGTCTCTACGTAAGACTTCAATACCGTTGTAAGTGCCTTTTGTGAATGTTTCGCCATTAGATTTGTTCGTGAACGTTTTTGCTTCGACTGTCATTTCAGTTCTTACAATAAAAATAAAAAATATTTTTGGGTGGTACGTCGGACATTCGTTTGTGGCTTAACCGTCGGACATTCGTTTGTGGCTTAACCGTCGGACATTGTCTTGAAACAGTATAAGACTAGTTCTGAGATCTCACCATCTAACCTAAAATATATTTTTGCCGAAAAAAATGAGTTTTGGTTGAAAAATACGGTGGAGCCAAAAAGTGGCTCGACCTCAAAACAAGCATTTTGTGAAGAATATACCAACCCGCGGAATTCCGCGGGTTGCTTTTTATACAAAATTCAAGAGGGTGAAAGAATACGAAGAAGTCTTGACAAAACATGTACGAAGAAGAAGTTTATTTCCTGGACTGTTGTCAAAATGTCATGTTGTCACCATTTTCAAAAAGATGTTAGTTGACCGAGGGACCAAGGGACCGAGGGACCTGGTGACCCCTTCAGTTCTTCAAAACATGTACGATGAAGTCATGACAAAACATGTACGAAGAAGTCTTGACAAAACATGTACGATGAAGAAGTCTTGACAAAACATTTACGAAGAAGAAGTTTATTTCCTGGACTGTTGTCAAAATGTCATGTTGTCACACTTTTTCAGAGAAGTTAAAATGACCGAGTGACCGAGTGACCTGGTGACACCTTCAGTTCTTCAAAACATGTACGATGAAGTCATGACAAAACATTTACGAAGAAGTCATGACAAAACATTTACGTACATGTTTGACAAAACATTTACGATGAAATCATGACAAAACATGTACGATGAAGTTTATTTCCTGGACTGTTGTCAAAATGTCATGTTGTCACACTTTTTCAGAGAAGTTAAAATGACCGAGGGACCGAGGGACCTGGTTCCACCTAAACTTTATTTTTCAATACTTTTTCAGCACTTTTCCGTAGTTGTATATGAAAGACAATTCGAGATAAAAGTCATAGTACAATGGAATAATATGCTGCACACCATTTGTTGTGAACCAAACTTGAAAGTCAGAGAAACTGTTACTAGGTGGTTCGTAGAATTTAGAAGCAAAGTCATAAAAGTCCTTGCCAATACATAGAAAACTATTGTTGCTTGAACTGAAACTTGCATGGCACATAACATTTTGAGGGTCGAACACATTTCTATAAACTGTCAAATCTGCTGGTGGAAGTATAAATTTAAATGGACCATCTGGTGGTAATGGTTCGTTCTGGTTTAGTAACCGAAGAAATTGTGCCCAAGAACGTTTGTCTACTTTCCAAAATAAAAACTCTGTATCTCTTGGAGGGTTAATTTCAATCTTTTGAAATGAAACGGTGGAGTTCATCTTGTCATATTCTAGTTTCAGATAGTATGTTCCATTTAGTAAAGAGTCGTATTTTTCTTGAAATTCCCAATAGTATTTGTTCATTTGAGTTTGAAAGTCATTTAGAGTTTTCTCAAGACTTTCGTCTGAACGAACTGTAAAGATCCTCATTTCATCAAATTTGTCTATTAGACCATCAGAACCTTTATACTGCCCATGAAAATATACTGCGAACATAAATGCGTTAGTTCTATTTGAAAACAAAACTCTTCTAAATCCTATTGCCTTTGCATCTGAAGGACTTTGAAGCCAACGAATTGGATAGTCAAACCTGTAAGCTCGGGATGAAATTTCTTCATCTGAAATAGTCATACCAGCATTTGTAAAGATATAGTCTAACGGTTTTGTATCTGCTACTTTTGTTCTTTGTTTTTCAACCTGAAGCATTTAATATATGTAAAAATATATGGTTTTAAAATGGTATGCCATATAGCTTCTTGAATTTGTTAAGAAGTATTTTAACGCATTTTCCATCTGTATCTCTAGTGTTTACATAAGCATAGCCTTCCTTAGTAAAATATACTTGTAATTTCCTATAGTTTACGCCGGTATAAAAGTAGAAAGAGTCTTGTTCTTCGCTATAGTAGTAAAACTCAAACGTATGCTCGCCATAGTCTGTAATTTCAATTGTTTCATCTTCTAGTTCGTCGACAAATTCGAATACAATATCTCCAAATTTGCCTTTGTTCTTATTGTTTTCAGAACGAGTGACCCAACGTAAGTTTTCAAGTCTATTGTCGTTTCTTATACGGTTTATATGGTCTACAAAAGGTAAATTGTTAGGATTCAGTATAAAATGAGTTGCAATGACAACATGTTTAAAATAGCGTTTCCCACCCATCTTCATAATAGCATATCCGTTATTTTGCTCCCATTCGCTTAAAACTCTTTTTGTCTTTTTGTTTCTGACTTCAAATGACTCACAACAGTGAATTTCATATTTCTCATCTAACAAACAAGTTTCCCAACGGTCTTCTCCAACAAACTCAGCGTACATTTCAAATAAAATAAAAAATATTTTTTTAAAAATATATGGTTTAAAAAACGTTTTTACTTCATATTTCTCATCTAACAAACAAGTTTCCCAACGGTCTTCTCCAACAAACTCAGCGTACATTTCAAATAAAAATAAAAAAATATTTTTTTTTCTTTACTTTACATAACCGCCTGCTGCCATAAGTCTTTGACGCCAACCCATACCAGCTAATGAAGGTTGACTTGGTTTAGTTTGGAAACTAAACTTTGGTTTTGGTTTATCTTCAGTTTTTGGTTTCTCTTCTTCTATCGGTTTTTCGTCACTTTTCGGTTCCTCTGACTTTACTTCACTTGCAGGAACAGTTGTGTCGTCAACATCTTCATAAATATCATATGCCATTTGTTTTTGTTTTCCTTTCAACTTTTTGTGTTTGTTGTAAAGTTTAGAATATTTCGACTCTAAGTCAATGAGATGTTCTATAATGAACTGTTGGTTAGTGAAGTAAACTTTTCCATCTGTTGTCTCGAAAGCTCCTTCAGACTTCAATATTTTATTTGTGAGAGTCTGTTTCTTTTTTGAGATACTTGCCGTTCCATTTTTATGAAAAGTGACTTTGTAGTTAGGGTTTGTATTTCCAGACCTGGCACTTTCTATTATTGAATTTTTCTCTTCATCTGTAAGTTCTTTGACAGGTTTTGACAATGGTTCTGAACTTTTTGTTTGTGGTGTCAAATCTACCGTTTCAACTTCTTCGGTCATTTCATCTCAGTAAAAATTTTAGTTTGGTTTGTTTTCAACTGGTTGTTGTTGTTTTTTAAGTCGGTCTAAAACTTCCTGAGGTATAGGAAGAACTTGACAAACACGTTGTGTAACTGCCGGAAGCCGACAAATCCATCTTGAACCCATTTGTCTCAATGCTGTATTGTTCATTTCATCTCAGTAAAAAACTTTACATTCCCCACGTTTGAGGCGGTTGAGGTTGGTTATTGTTTACCCATTGTTGTGCATGGTTATATCCTCTGTTAAAGAATCTTTCACCTTAGTCCATATAGTGTCCTGCTTGGTTATAGTAGTCATTTGCTTTGTTATAATAGTTTCCTGCTTGTCTTCCTACATTGTCCATCCATCCTTGAACTTTTCCTCTTGTTTCAGGATTTGGAATAAGATTTGTTGCATCTCGTGCTACCTCCCAACCTTTCTGTACAGTTTGTATAATAGGTTGTGCTTTCTCTTTAAGTATACCTAATGTACTCAAAATCTTCCTTCCAATTCCAAATGCACCTCTGGCTATTGTTCCCACTGCGGGCAAAAATCTGGATGCAACTCCTGCTAACGCGCCAAATAAACCCATTTCTTATGGGTTAAAAATGACGAATCCAAACAAGGACCCCTATGTTTCTAAAGCGACAAAGAAAGCACTCATGGTAAAAATCTTTAGTTCAACACCAAATGCTTGGTTTATGGATATCTTGGAAAACATTCCGAGAGTTAGAACAGATGGACCACCATACTGGCTAATATTTGTTGGTCAAAACACAAGATACTGTGAAGCCATACCATTATGGTCCAAAAATATTTTAGATGTGAAAACTGCTTTGACAATATTCGTTGACAAATACCATCCAACAAACTGACATCTGACTGTGAAAGTTCTTTCAAATCAGACGATATTAAAAACTATCTGCGTTCAAAAAATGTAAACCAATATTTCATTGTCGACCAAAACCATTCTGCTCTTGGTGTCATTGACGGTTGTATAAAAATGTTAAGAGACTTAAACCAACCACAAGGTGGTGAAGCAAATGAAATGTCATATGACGACAAATATAGACACTTCTCCATGGCAAAGATGAGACAAGTTTTAAATATTTACAATAGCCGTAAAAAAAAGGTTTGGGAAACCACTCCCCGAAGAAATGAAAAACAACCCTGACTTAGAGAAAGACTATATATTTAATAATTTAGTCAAAAGAGACAAACAAGAAAGAATGCCGGGCTTCAAACTTCAGAAAGGTGACAAAGTAAAAATAGAAATACCCAAACGCGACCCATATGAAAATACTATTGACTATGACAACAATGGGAACCCGACAGGTACTCACATTCGTGTTCGTAAAAATAGAAGAAAGTATACAAGAGAATATTATGAAGTTTTAGGCAAACATGGCAAAATGTACAGACTGCAAGCAGAAGATAAAACTACTATTGTCAGACCTCGTTTCAAACTTGTCAAAGTTCAAGGTGGTATACTTTCAAAGACAGTTCCTAACAAATATAAGACAACTCCTGACGAATATGCTAAAGAAGTTGAAAATGACGACTAAGCATTTCTATACCATGCGTAAACTGTCATGTAAGGTGGCATGTAGTCTTTACTTTGTCCGGTTGTTTGCGTATACCCTGAAACGAAATGTGTATGGTCTCCTCCTACCTCAGTGTTATCCAAGTAACAATTTATAGCAAACTGAACGCTGTCTTTAACATCATATCCTTTACCTTTTGTCATTCCTGTCCAATCCCAATATTTATGCTATGCCCACCTTCTCGAGATGTAGTTAAACTTACGTAGTGACTGTGCGCAGGTAAATTTGCACCTGAAATCGTTTTACTTCCACCTGTTTCCTTTGAAGAGTTTGCACAATACAAAAACCTGTCGACTATTTGAGTCCAAGTTCCAAAACCAAGTACTGTTTCTGGTCTGGTAGAGTTCATTGACGTATAAATAGAGCCAACCGGGTAAATAAGATTCGGCAAAATTTGTTTAAGCACATTGAGTTCCTGTCTTAGATGTATAATACTATTGTCATTAGATATCAAAGTATCTACAAGACTTGTTGCCGGTGGTATTGTTGGAGCTTTACTTGGCAAGGTTGTGTTTAGTGTAATATCATCTGCTGTAAAAGTTGTAAAACTTGTATGTGTATGGTTCTTGTCTGCTTTCTTGTCATATAAATCTTGAGCAGTGAATTTAACGTTATTTTCATCCTTCATGACATAAACATCTTTACATCTAATGTTTCTCATCGTCGTTATGTCGTCATCCGATGTTAAACCTTGTGGAAAGTTAGGAGGTTTACAATATAATGCATCCCCACCAGTTTCTTCAACCGTTCCTTCAATACTTTCTATAGCAACAGTTGTAAAACTTGTATGTGTATGTCCAACGTCACTTTTCCTGTTTAAGGTTTCTTGTAAGTTTGTAATATCAGATATAGAATGTGTATGTCCAACGGCACTTTTACTGTTTAAGGTTTCTTGTAAGTTTGTAATATTTGCAATGGTATGTGTATGTCTAACGGCACTTTTACTGTTTAAGGTTTCTTGTAAGTTTGTAATATTTGCAATGGTATGTGTATGTCTAACGGCACTTTTACTGTTTAAGGTTTCTTGTAAGTTTGTAATATTTGCAATGGTATGTGTATGAGTCTTATTTGCTTTTGTCTCTAAGGTTTCTTGTAAGTTTGTAATATCAGATATAGAATGTGTATGAGTCTTTTTAGAATATTCGTTTTCAGCTCTTGTCACTTCACTTGACATTTTATTGTCAACATATGTTTTGTCTGCTAGTTCAGGATGAGTATGTTCTTTCGTTGCATATGTTGCATCTGCTCTGTCATGTTCTTCTTGAACTTTTTCAATGACATATGTTTTGTCTGCTTTGTTGTCACCATCTGCTTTCAAAAGAAGTTCATTTATAGGTTTCTCGTTTAAAGTTCCTTTTGTTGGATTTATACAAACAGTATGGTTCTTATTGTCTTGAAATAGAAACTCATCTGTCATTGGGTTTAATGTCAGTTTTAAATTTCCTTCTTTCAATGACTCAGATATCTTAGAATAGTTTGAAAAGTTTGTTGTGTTCTTATTTAGAGCTTGTATAATGAGTTGTCGGTTGTGTTGTATTTCTCTCATAGACGCTGTTTTCATTTGACATTTTTATTCTAGATAAAATGCTTTCAATAGAAAAAGAAAATTCAAGAGTTGCTACAACTAAACCATTAGATGAACTTTTTACGAATGTCGGTCAAAAGTTTGAGACAGAGACCGTAAAGCATGAAGGCTATCGTTTTGACTACCCGTTAAGATGGTTAAGAGACCCATCTGTCAAAAAGCTATTGGCTTTCGTAAATGAAGTTCATTTCAGAAGCCATACATGGTTTCCCATTTACAGTCGGTTTTGAAGTTCGATACTATAACAAAGAAAAACGTACGTATGAGAAATTTGAACAGGGAAAACTTTTACAAGTGAATTTGCTTGTAAACTTAGAAACAACTCTTCAAGCTTTTCAAGAAAAAATAAACGACATCTATATCGAATATGCAACCAGTATAACATTGACGAGGGAGAGTACCATCTCGATATTATATATGACAGGAAAAATGCAACTGTTAAAATCAATAGAATAGAAGACCTTGGAGAAAACGTTTATATTTCTACAAAATATAACAACTTGGCATGGTATAGATTTCTGAGGATGTTAAATCAGCCTGCAGAATATCCAGTACACCCGGACTTTTATGAAGTCGAAAACCCTAATGGAACATATGAAAATGTTTTCGACTCAGATGCTATTATAGTTCATGCTTCATTTTTGGTGCACAAAACTCTTTCTTATGCTTGGCAAATGACTTTTACGAAAACCTACAAAGTTATATGAACCGCCGAGTGGAAGTATTTCAGACTTTCAAGTATGGTTTACAACAGATGGAAGAAAGAGAATAGTTCCATTATACCATGCGTTTTACTTAGAACTTAGTTTCATATACAACTACTATCGAACGGTAAAAATATAATTTTTTAATACGGTTGAGGTGTTGGATTTGGTTGCCAACTAGACTGTGGTGCAGGTTCAGGCTGTTGTATAACAGGGGCTTGCTCTTCTGGTTCAGGGTCTTTTAGGTATAATACCAACGAACTGACCTACTCTTTTACCAATATTTTTGACTCCGTTCCAAATTCCTCTTCCTACGGTTTTTATTCATTCCATATACCTCTTCCAACATTTCGAAAGAAGTTTCCTATCTTACTGAAGAAACCCATTTTACTATATGTAAAAATCTAATGTCCACCTAGTCTCTTACGTTTCCTGTTGAGTTCCATAGCATTCTTTAACTGGAGCTCATACATTCTGTTTCTCCTCTGTAGAAAACATATTCTGGGTCAACTCCTGTGTTCGCGTCATCTGCATAAAGTTTTGTTTATATCCCACTTCGGGGTTTGTATAAAACTCTTTCCATCTCATATTTGCATACCATGGTGGCAAACCTAACGCGCGTCATTTGACATGGCAGTTTGCATTGTACATCTGTTGGCACTTGACCATAGTTTGCCATTGCAGTTTGTATTCTAACTTCATTTGGAATATTCTCTGGGTTTGGTTGTCCAGGTTGCTGTGCATTCGCTAAGTTCTGTGCGTCATTTAATATTAGATAAAAAATATTCTTACGAGTACATATGCTGAACATTTGCAGGCATTGGTTCATCTTCATATTCTCTGTACCTTTCTGCCACGTCAAATAAATAAATGACACAATGGAAAAAACCTAAACAAGTAGTCCTATTTCAACCACATTTACTTACTAGTAAAATTTCTTTGTTATGACACTTTCTCCTTTTATAGGACCTCTCTCATATTCTATCTTGTCATATCTAAACTCATAGTCATGTATGTCCTCTAACCATCTCATAAACGGTTTTCCAAACCACTTTTATCGGATGTAAAGTAAAAGCATGGACAGTTATGTATAACGTCTAAAGTTTCTAAAAGAGTCTCTCAAAGTCCAGTCTACTTGTATTGAAAATCCCATGTGTTATAGAACGGCGGGTCCACTATAAAGAAAATATTTTCCTTGTCTTTATATTTTTCATACAACTCTGTCCAATGACATCTCAAAACTCTATACCCTCAATATATTTTTCTATGTCCTCTTTGAAAACATTTGTATAGTTAAGATATAAAACTTTGACATAAGTGTTTCAATGTCATGAACTCTTATAGCACCACTATATAATAGTCTAGCAGATATACTATCCCAGTCTATATATTCTGCTTTTTTCAAAACCTCTCTCACAATATTTTTCTTATCTAATGGTATACGTTCCATCTTACCTATAGGTATCTTTTCTTTTAACTCTTTCAATATATTGTTTGTGTCTGGTATATGTTTGAGACGGTCCATATAGTTGTCGAAGTCATTGCATATAATCTTTGAGTCTGGGAATATTGTATGACATAAATGGGATATATAGAAACTTCCACCGAACAAATCTACAAATGTTAGACCATTCGGTAGTTTCTTAAGTTCTCTCAATAGAATATCTTTACATCTACTCTTATTTCCAAAGAACGGTAACGGTGGTTTTGTAAAATTCATTTATATATAATAATAAAAATGTTTTTTCCTGAAAAGTGACAGAAAAGGCTTCTCAAAGTATACTTCCTTGGAACGCCTGTAACTTTTCCTGTAGCGACGATAGACCCTTGCTTGTCCGGACAAAGTTATACTATTTTGAGTGCTCTACCAAAAATTTTTTATGGGCTAGAGGGCGCAACGCGCCTGGAGGCCCCCAGTACCCAAAAAACTTCATTTATACTAAACATCTTCAGGGCTAGAGGGCACGAAGTGCCTGGAGGCC